GGCAGAGGGTGAAACGGGGGTGACGTAGTTTTTGGTTAAAAAATTGTCTTCCCTGACAAATCTTTTGACGTGTCTCGGCGTTTTGCATAAAGGTAGTAGTACTTTATTCAACCAAAAAACGAACACATGGTTCTAATGACAGGACACAAAAGGATAAAGGTGAAAATGTGTCATCCGAAGTGCTACTCTGCTCACACTAGACTGAAATGTGCATTTACCGACGCGCCCCGAATGCAAAGTGACAAAGACTGATGGAATAACGCCGCTGAATAAGCCCGGTTATCAGCTGGCCGCCGGGATTTGTGAGTTAAGTACGCCCACACGTCGCATTCACGCTCGAAAAACTTCCAGTGAAGTTGGAAGTGTTGATATAAACGGCTTTGAAACCGGTCGAGCGGTCAGATAAAACCCGTTTCCACTCAGACCGAGCTAGATTAGGCTGTCTGTGTCGGGGTATAGCAAAAAGTGTCCCAAAATCCACGCATGCTTTCGATTAAATAGGTTTTTAGTTTTGATTTAGTCATGTTTAGAAAGTGTATGTTTAGTTATCTCTGCGATCATAACCAACCATATAAAACGTTGTTTGATGCTACTTAGTGGATATACTTAAGTAATTTGCTGTGCTGAATTTGAATACCATCATCGACAAATTCTGGAGTATCAGAGAATCAATCTTTTTATTTGTGTTTATTTGATAAGCTACATCACTGAGCAACGATTTGATTTCACTAACCAAGCAATTTTTTGAATGGTAATTTGTATTTTAGCGCTGAACCACCAAGTCACCTAACTCGAAGTAATTCACCGTAATCTCCCTTCCACAAAATAATCAAAGCACGTATTTTAGCGCAAATACATCTCAACAATCCAGAATTTCATACGCACAATTTCCGACTCGTTACGCTGGCATTTCAGGCGTATGTAAAAGATTACTGAACTGTGTACGGGCATTTTATTCCGGCATAATCGCTCCAAACATATCGAGAGTCAGCACTTGTTTGCCTGTTTATGCATGACTGAGTAATTTTATATACGGGGTGGTGCATCGAAAACGAAACAGACGCATTTACTGTTTTTTTACTTTGTTTTTTCTTGGAAAAACGCTCAGACCCGTCGATTTTGTATTGAGGGGGACACAAGTTTGGCAAAAAATCACGTTAACACGTGCAGCCCCCTGGGTGGGGGTGATACCAACCCTAAAGTCTTAAATGGAAAGGGGGGTCGAGTGATACCTTATTTTAAAGGTCTTTCAATTCCCGTTATAATGATGTAAAATACATGAGCTTCAGTTCAGTAGTTTTGAAGATTTATTGACTTAAAGCTTAAAGTAGACTTTAATAGGTACATCAGATTAGTTTGTACTACTTTCAGAAGAAATTTGACTAAAAGAATTTACCTAATAAATGCTTTTCTCCACTACGCCCATTGTTTATCATTTTGTTGTTGAAAATAGCTATTGGAGCGTTTTTTTTTCGCAAAAAAGTTATTTCTTTAAATATATAGATAGTTGAATTCGTATACTTATTCGAGCGAAGCTTTTTCCTGATTACTGGAAATGTTCACAGCCACATTTGTTCATATCTAAAAAGGACAAAAAACATCGTTCTTCCCGATTAATCATTAACGCAGACACACATCCGCGGCATCCACGTCGCAAATTGAAAATTAAAAATTCTCTATGGGCTTGTATTTAACAACGGGCGTCCATCAGCGTTGGCACTGCTTTGTGAGGGTGTCATCCAGCGGTAGTTTTTTGCGTTATCCATCGTTATTCACTAACTGGGTAATTTATCACCCTGGCGTCGCAATGAAGGCCATTAGGCGGTCCACACGCAAAATGGACACCGATAATGTCAAAAGGGTTGTTCAGGGTGGTGATACGCGTTTCAAGGTTCACTCAGTCGCAGTGGTACGTATGGCACAGTGGTAGAAATTGAGGTGGTCTCAGACTGTGGAAGGTGGAGGTACCACCCGGCGGATATTTGAGGCTGGGGCAGAATATGTGCATTTCACTTATATCCTCGCTAAAAAGTAAAAAATGCAACACCGTTTTCATCTGACGCTTCATATAGCCTCACCATACTCATGAGTATTTAAGTATGAATAATGGAATTGGAAAAAGATTTCTATTGAGATATGAAAATGAGGTGTATGAAGTCTTAGAAGAACTGGTCTCAATGAGCATAAGTCAGCTCCAAATGGTCATAGGTGTTTTAAAGGTGACACAAGTCATCATTATTCTTCTTGATTTGGAAAGTTGTGGACTTGCCACTCGCTAAAACGAGCAGAGGATCGGCTTTTTCAAATATTATGACAATTAAAATCCTCAATTCAAATAGTTCTTAGATAACATTATTATCAGCCAATATTTTGTATACATATACAGAGTGGTTTGTTTAACTTTATCACTCCACAGTATTATTTGAACAATATTCGTCTTTTGTCCTCATTTAGTATCATTAGTGGCGTTGAAATTCACAACATCCTGTATCATGATATTGGGTTTCTTAAGGGCATGTTTATATGATCTTTTTTGTTTTTACGATTATACTTTCTAATCTAGAAATATTGCCGTTTTTCGAATCATCTTGTATATGTAGGTATACATTATTTCAAATTTGTGAAATTTAATTACTTACAGGAGCCAGCTATTTAATAAAACAATTGGATTACATCACCACCAACACCAGTCATATTTTTAGCACTCGTGGAAATAATTACATTGTTTAATCAATGTGATGCAATTTTGCACTGTGATATGCGGAATTACTAATTGCTACATGTAAAAAGTGATATTCTCTTCAACATTAACGTTTGCTGCTTGAACAGTTTGAACCCTTTTCTATGCGCAATATCAAATACCAACTTGTGTTTCATACTTATGGTTATTTGTTATAAGATCACTTTATATACATTCATTTTTTCAACACTAGAAAATTAACCGTGAGCTTTGGAAAAACGTATTTTCACCATACGCTTCATACGCAAGACATTTACCCGAGTATTCAAATCGTTTTTTCAGAATAAACAAAACAAATTTAACAATTGACATAGTAGACAATATCAAGTATTTAGGAATTTTTTTATATCAACATTTGAGGTTGGACATTCATGCATCCTACATTTTGAAATAAAAAAGATTTGTTACATACAAAATCAAATCCGTCACAGGCATATTGACAGAACATTATAAGCGTACCATACAGGGTGGTTAAATAGTGTGTCAAAGCTCAATGTCTTCTATACTACGAGTATTAGAGTTGCTACAACCTAAAATTATTCTTAGCTATATAACAAATTATATAATCTTGTATTTTTTTAAATGGGTCACCCTGTATTTCCGTTGATTTTTAGAAGCGCCATTTCTTCGTCATTCTGTCAATGTATGGTTTCGGGAGTTTGTACTGGGTATTTTGGAATATATGGCCAATTTTTATTTTTTATTACTACTACGGCCACTACCACTGCATAGTATGGTAAAATATTTTATCAATTGGGTATCTTTATACGTTGGAACAGTAGAAAACTATGAAAATCAAGGAGGCCATATAGGCGTCCTATAATTGTAGAAACGACTGACGATACGGTATTTAGGCTACAGCGTCTGTTTCACAATACATCGTTAAACAAAAATACATCAAATATAAGCTTTTACGTATGCTCTGACTCACCCTTACTGGGGGCCATAAATGTATCTGAATATTACACTAAGTTGCAGGATGCATGAGTTTCTGAGGTTTTGTTATTTGTGTGCTTAGGTTCACAATGAATATATCATTTCAATGCATGGGAACAGTCAGTAAAGTTAACATATAACGTGCAAGCACCACTTGGACGGGATAAATAGTTTCATCATAAATCACCACATCTGAGGAGAAATCAATCAGAGCCTGTTACAGCCGGTGAAAGTGCATAGTCATATGATGAATCGCCGTCAGATGCATATTTAAGATTAAAAGTATAACCTACGTCTTAATCCTGTACGTATCGACCCGTGTATGGCACTGATTACTTTTTGATACTTGCACTACTACATAGGTCACGCATAAGCATTAAATACCTTGCTGCAGAAGTATTCATTATTCACTGGGCACTTTTATATCCTGACGCGTATAGTATCGAGGGACGTACGAGTATCTAATTTTTTTACGATAACTATGAAGTATTACCAAATTTAATTTGACTTGATTTTGGAATATAGCATATTTGATAATCTACGTAAAGTCCGGCAACACTGTCAAATACAATACTAAGGACACTAAGAATACTAATAATACTAAGAATACCAAGAATACTAAGAATACTAAAAATATTATGAACACTAAGAATACTAAGAATACTAAGAATACTAAGAATACTAAGAATACTAAGAATACTAAGAATACTAAGAATACTAAGAATACTAAGAATACCAAGAATACCAAGAATACTAAGAATACTAAGAATACTAAGAATACTAAGAATACTAAGAATACTAAGAATACTAAGAATACTAAGAATACTAAGAATACTAAGAATACTAAGAATACTAAGAATACTAAGAATACTAAGAATACTAAGAATACCAAGAATACCAAGAATACCAAGAATACCAAGAATACTAAGAATACTAAGAATACTAAGAATACTAAGAATACTAAGAATACTAAGAATACTAAGAATACTAAGAATACTAAGAATACTAAGAATACTAAGAATACTAAGAATACTAAGAATACTAAGAATACTAAGAATACTAAGAATACTAAGAATACTAAGAATATATGAGTATATAGGGCATTTGCATCATGCCTTTACTGCATTTTCTATTATAGATGCGGAAGTGAGTATGTTTGTTCACATTTCACGCCAAATCGGCTGAGCCGACCTTGATCAATTTTAGCATCGATATAAATTAGACCTTGGTGACGCACGTGGGCTAGCTTTAGTTGCGAAAATAAGAATTGAAGGGGGTGATAGTTACTATATATTATTTTATTTGCATCGATTTAGCGTGGATGAAAAGATTCGTGACACGAATCACCTTATGGATTACTCGAATTGACGCTATGTTGTCGTTCCAGGTCCATACCAGGAGGCTCGTCAGACGGCACCCCCCGGAGGCGGCATGTCTGCCGAGGACAACGGCAACCTCCCTTCTTCAGGGGGAGGAGGCGGAGTCCTAATCAAGCCGAACTCCAGCAGTAACGAAGACCTCAGCGAATACACAGACGCCGATGAGAGCATCTCAGCTCCTACTGAGTTTCTTGCAGAGGTAATGTATTAGTAGCAATAGTAGTAGTTTTTTGTGTGCAAACGATGATGGTGTTCATATGCATTTTTTGAAAGATGAAAAGACGCACACTATAAATCAAAATTGACTTGTCTTAACGTTTTTTCCAAAATGTACAAGAAGAGTCTCAAATAGCGGTGCGACCTTTTCGTCGTATAGTGAAAAATTGCAAACGCACAATGAGGTGATAATTTTTTATTTGCGGTGGTTTGCATTTCCTAGTTTTATGTCTTGTGGATAATTAAATAAATCGTGATTCAACTTTTTTTCAGTTCTTATCAGCGGTAATGCTGAAGGACTACCCGACAGCACTGAAGTATTGCAAACTGAGTAAGTCAAGAGTCGTTTTAAGCAATTACTATCTTCTAACCGTATTTTTTGCAGTTCTCCAATATGAACCTAATAACGCAACGGCCAAAGAATTTTACCCGCTGATTCTGGAAAAAATAAGAATTGGTAAGAGATTTCATGGTCTAATGTCTATATTATACAGGTCGTTTCATAATCAAATGTCAATATTCAAGGGGACGATTTTTGAGTTCATTTTAAGAAGAAAAATTCTTATGTCCTGAACTTAATAAATCGTTTATTATCAATATCTGTAATACCACTTGGCAGGCATGTACTATGTATCAAAATGTACCACATTTTTTTAATTTCCATAAATAAAATTATTCTTGAAATTCCCAATCATTTTTAAGCAAACTTCATCGCAAGAGATTTTCAATCCGATGCAGTGCTTTCGCTAAAAAAAACCGCTTCTACGCATGATCATAACATCGTTAATATGACAATATCACCATATAGCAAGATATATTTTATTTTTTAGTTGAAAACCGTGCGTTGGACTGAAAAAATTCAAGAGATTAGTTTTTTATTTCGTTGATTTAAAATGTTATTCATCTGTATTCGATATCTGGATGAAAATCCTCTTCATGCCTTCCCCCGCCATCTCTCGGTATTCATTACTAATGATCTGCCTTTCAACAGAAGCCAATGACAACGAAAGTGAGGAAGAAGAGGCTAGCGAAGAAAGTTCCGGCACTGGTTCTGATAACAGCACTAGCAGCACTAGCAGTGAGGAGAGCAGCGAAGGACAAGAGGTACGATATCATATATACCAAATGCGCAATATTTAAAAAACATTGAAAATCGAACCCCTATCAAGTACTCTGCAATAATAGGAACCAGGGGCACGTTTCGCAAGTCCCCTTCTTGCCTCGATCACAGTCTTTCACTATTTTCGGGACTTGAGTCAGCTCCTTGTCAGTGATCATAGCGGAATCCCTCTTCCTTTGCAATTCGACTAAGATGGCAGTGTGATCCTTGACAGGATTCAAAAAGGCCCAGCTACCCTTACTCCGCAGTCTATGTGCGAATCACAAAACATATACACTGAAGAAGGATTAATTATATGCTATTCAATGGCAACACGGTGACTTGTATGGTTGTCAGCGGCCATTTTTTGAGGGCGCAACATGGTTGCCAGATTGTGCATTAATATCCCGCAACGTTGCCAGCTCTACATATAAATCTGAGATTGCTATACTTTTATATACTAAGTGACATATAAATCCGAACACCCGTTTAAATGGTTTTATTTTAATAAAATTTTGTATAAGTACTTAATGAAGCATAATAAGTAAATGATAAAAATTTCAAAATGATTGCACTGCTTTAAAGCCCTTTGACCTTTAATAATGTGTGGATGCACCGTGATGTGCTACGCATTCTCCAACGCGCCTAGGCATGCTTCTGATCAGGTGGTCAATGTCCTCCTGTGGTATCTCATTCCAGGCAACCACCAACTCCTCACGAAGTGCTTCTAGAGTCTGAGGAGGACGTTGCAAATTGAGCAATCTCCTACCCATCATATCCCACACGTGCTCAATTGGGGATAAGTCGGGAGATCTTGATGGCCATGGTACCAATATGACATCATTATGTTGAAAGAAGTCTATTGTGACTCTTGCAACATGTGGTCGGGCATTATCTTGTTGGAAAGTTGGATCTGCCAGGGTGTCAAGATAGGGTAAAAGATGGGGTTCTAGAACTTCGTGGATATAACGCTGCGCGTTCATGTTACCTCTGATAAAGATTAAAGGTGACCTGGAACCATAAGCTATAGCACCCCAAACCATAACTCCAACAGTGTGATGAACATGTCTTTCAACACAAACTGTGGATTCCTCCTTTCACCACGTCGTCTTCTAACCCTGGCGCAACCATCGTGCATGCCTAAACAAACTCGAGACTCGTCGCTAAAGACAATACTGTTCCATTCCTGATCCCAGAGTGACCGTTGTCTGCACCACTCAAGGCGATTACGTCGGGAGGACCCAGTGTGGCCGGTATGAAAACAAGCCAAAACTTCTCATTCGTCGGTAAACACTTCGCATGCCAATAGGTCTTCCGTGTTCTGCAAACCATTCATTTGCGATGGACCTGGTAGTGGAGAAACGGTCCCTTAAGGCCAATAATCTTAGGCGGCGATCTTCACGGTCTGTTGTTCTACGGCGGCGTCCAGTTCCCCTTGCTCTTTGCGTACGGCCTTCTCGAAGCCATGCATGACAACACCTAACCACAGTGTCTACACTTCTTTGCACTCTAACTGCAATTGCCCGAAAAGAAAGTCAAGCTTCCCGAAGTCACACTATACGGCCCCTATCAAACTCACTAAGTTGACGAAATCGTACAGGTCTCCATACTCTAGGCATCGTAACCTATCGTAAAGGATGTCAAGAACCAAAATCCGCCAACGTCGATTCTTTACTGCGGTTGAAATATTCATTTTTAGAGCGTTAGTGAATTAAAAAAAAGCAGTATAAAAACCGGAATGTCCAACTGATAAGGCTGAAAATTTTTTCACTTGTTTTATTAAAATAAAACCATTTAAACTGGGTGTTCGGATCTATATGTCACTTAGTATAGATAAGTAATAAAATGAGTAGGTACGTAAGAAATTGTCAAAACTTCAGAATTGTACCCTTATTTTCCTAATTGAGTGATGCTGCAAGACGGCATAGCAGACGGACGTATACAAGATAAGGCTATTTTCTGTTGTGTAGAAAGTGGGAGGAACTTTTCACTTTAACTTCCTTGCCTGATCTGTTTTTAGACTCGGATACGGAATTTTTCGTTAAAGTTAAAAACCCGCATTCGGGAAAGTTTTTGATGGGATTTATAAGAGTTTTCGCAAACAGGGTAATGGTAATGTGATAGCGATGTAGTAAAGGAATGTTGAGACGTATCTCGAAGCTAAAGCTATTACCTATTTATATCGAAATGGAAGATTTTATATGTTGTGATGATAAATTTATGTGAATTATATCTCCCCTCTATCTCCCACGGTAGCCATGGGTGTTGAGGCCTTAGGCTTTCGTGGTGGAAAATGAAAATTATGAGCATCAAGCGAAAGAAAGTTAAAACGGAAAAAAATATTTTTTGGCGATTTAGACGACCCTGATCATTTTCAGAAAAGTTGTACGCAAAGCGTATCATATATTTCTTGAAAAATCTCCAGTGTGTACCCCTTCGGACACCACTGGTAGAAATATAGAAAAAAATTCTTCATCAAAAAATGCCTATTGGTGCTTAGTAGGTGCATGTCAAATTTTCAATCACTGAATGATTATGACAGTATAGATGTATGCAACGCCGTGCTGGGTTGCCACGTTGCTGTGTGGTCGGTACTGTCGGTAAGGCGATAGGCTGGATCGCAGCGTTGTCAAATCTGTGGGGACTATCGACGCGTTGTTCGGCTTTTCCTAAGAGGGATCAACTTGCCCGTATGCAATCCTTTATGAATTCATGATGCCAACCTTCTTAACGCCCTTTTTTTATAGGAAGATGAAGAGGACGAGGTAGAAGTAGAACAAAGCGCTGGGGACAAACGTTCCAAAGGATCTTCAGACGGCACCACCGGAAGTTACTCCAGTTTGGAAGACGACGAGGCGGTTGATCAGCTAGTTGCTCTAGCAAGGAAATACCAGATTGACAACGTTAACTTGGGCAACGGAAACAAGATATGTAAGTTAAAGTTGCAAAGCACAAGTTATCCAAGCTAGAATTCGTTTGGAGAAATAAATTATACATACTAAGTGACATATAAATCCGAACACCCATTTTAAATGGTTTTATTTTAATAAAATTTTGTATAAGTACTTAATGAAGCATAATAAGTAAATGATAAAAATTTCAAAATGATTGCACTGCTTTAAAGCCCTTTGACCTTTAATAATGTGTGGATGCACCCTGATGTGCTACGCATTCTCCAACGCGCCTAGGCATGCTTCTGATCAGGTGGTCAATGTCCTCCTGTGGTATCTCATTCCAGGCAACCACCAACTCCTCTCGAAGTGCTTCTAGCGTCTGAGGAGGACGTTGCAAATTGAGCAATCTCCTACCCATCATATCCTACACGTGCTCAATTGGGGATAAGTCGGGAGATCTTGGTGGCCATGGTAACAATGTGACATCATTATGTTGAAAGAAGTCTATTGTGACTCTTGCAACATGTGGTCGGGCATTATCTTGTTGGAAAGTTGGATTTGCCAGGGTGTCAAGATAGGGTAAAAGATGGGGTTCTAGAACTTCGTGGATATAACGCTGCGCGTTCATGTTACCTCTGATGAAGATTAAAGGTGACCTGGAACCATAAGCTATAGCACCCCAAACCATAACTCCAACAGTGTGATGAATATGTCTTTCAACAAAAAACTGTGGATTCCTCCTTTCACCACGTCGCCTTCTAACCCTGGCACGACCATCGTGCATGCCTAAACAAAATCGAGACTCGTCACTAAAGACAATACTGTTCCATTCCTGATCCCAGTGTGACCGTTGTCTGCACCACTCAAGGTGATTACGTCGGTGTTCTCGAGTTAAAGGGAGGACCCAGTGTGGCCGGTATGAAAACAAGCCAAAACTTCTCATTCGTCGGTAAACACTTCGCATGCCAATAGGTCTTCCGTTTTCTGCAAACCATTCATTTGCAATGGACCTGGTAGTGGAGAAACGGTCCCTTAAGGCTAATAATCTTAGGCGGCGATCTTCACGGTCTGTTGTTCTACGGCGGCGTCCAGTGCCCCTTGCTCTTTGCGTACGGCCTTCTCGAAGCCATGCCTGACAACACCTAACCACAGTATCTACACTTCTTTGCACTCTAACTGCAATTGCCCGAAAAGAAATTCCAGCTTCCCGAAGTCCCACTATACGGCCCCTACCAAACTCACTAAGTTGACGAAATCGTACAGGTCTCCGTACTCTAGGCATCGTAACCGATCGTAAAGGATGTCAAGAACCAAAATCCGCCAACATTGATTCTTTACTGCGGCTGAAATATTCATTTTCAGAGCGTTAGTGAATTAAAAAAAAGCAGTATAAAAACCGGAATGTCCAACTGATAAGGCTGAAAATTTTTTCACTTGTTATTTACAGTAAGATAAATACATTCACCAACTTTTATTGAAATAAAACCATTTAAACTGGGTGTTCGGATTTATATGTCACTTAGTATACGTCTTTTTTAATAAAATCTTGTATTACATCGCTGAATACTGGATTCTCGAGAAACATTGTTTGAATGCTTATAGTCTGCCAAGTTTGTAGTCTGCAGACCAATAGTATACATAATAATCGTCCAGGGGTTTCTCGGCATCCTGTATAAACCATGATTGAAGAAATGCAAAGAGATGACAACACCGACAACTGACACCTGCAAATAGTTCGCATCTTCGGCTTATATAATTCTATAAATTAGACAAGAAAAGTTTCCAATGACCTCAATTGTTCGTATGATGGGTCGCTAAATCCAAAGTCGTTTCTCATGTATCTGATCCCGTCTATCTAATTGTTTAGCGACTATGCGTGCTAAGGTGCTAAAAACTCAGTTTTATTATCGATACCTACATTTTAGTGAAGCTTTGCACCATAAGGTAATTGGGGCACTGCATATGAGTATTATAATGAAACAAACTAACCTGTCATCGGACCGGATTTGAGGTGAAACATTGGTGTAAATCTAGTTGTCTGGGGCTACGCGTGAATCATAGCACTGAACCGGCATCGAATTCGGAATCTACGCACCCGATTTACCTAGGAAACGAGCTTCCATCTAAAGGGTTGTCCAATAGGGACGCAGGAAAGTAAACGTCAATTTGACATAGACGCCATCTTTGTTTTCTGTCACCGACATGTCATTTTGTTAGTTGAATGTTTACCATTGAACGCTATGGAGCCGTATTCGATTGAAGACCGCATTAAAGTTATTCAAGAGCACTACAAAGATGGTGCAAAAATAAAAAACACGTTTCGCGCGCTTCGTGAACATTTCGGTCGCAACAACCGCCCAAACGAAACAACCATCGGTCGTCTGGTGCGTAAATTCGAGGCAACAGGTTCTGTGGCAAATCTGCCAGGCTCTGGCCGGCCAAGGAGCGTCCGCACACCGGAAAATATTGCTGTTGTGAAGGAGAGTGTGAGAGACGATCCGGAACAATCAACAACGCGTCGATCCCAAGAATTGGGCATTTCGAGAACCAGTTTGCTCCGCATTCTCCACAAGGATTTGAATGTACACGCCTACAAAATCCAATTGACGCAAGAGCTGCATCGGGCCGACCATTTTTCACGCCGAACGTTCTCAGATTGGCTCCTTGAACACCGCCAAATTGATGCCAATTTTTCATCAAAAATCATGTTCAGTGACGAAGCGCATTTCACTGTGAATGGGACGGTAAACAAGCAAAACTGCCGCATCTGGGTGAACGAAAATCCCCGTGAGTATCAAGAGCAGCCGATGCATCCTCAAAAAGTGACTGTGTGGTGTGCATTGTGGTCAAAAGGCATCATCGGACCTTACTTTTTCGAAAATGCGGCCGGGGACGCCGTTACCGTCAATTCTGAGCGATATCTCGTGATGACAGAGGACTATTTTTTGCCGCAACTTGAAGGAATGGATATTTCCAACAAGACGGTGCAACATGCCACACAACCAACGTCAATATCCATCGATTGCAGTCCTTCTTCGGTGATCGCGTGATTTCGCGCAGAGGAAATGTGCCATGGCCACCAAGATCGTGCGATTTGACTCCTTTGGACTTCTTTTTATGGGGATATTTGAAAAGCAAAGTCTACGTCAACAAACCAGCCACCCTCCAAGAACTCAAAAACAACATCATTGCCGAGATAAATGCCATAGAACCGACCATGTTGCAAAATGTCATTGAAAAATTCGACCATCGCGTGCACGTCTGTAAATCCAGTCGTGGTGAACATTTGAGCGATATCATTTTTCAGGATTTGGCCTCCTTCAAAAAAATTTGGGGCTGGTCCCCTAAGAAAAATGTCTGCAGGCGCCCATGGAATAAACATAAACAGTATAGTCAATAAAAGGGCTTGAACGTCTAAATACTTCCGAATGATCTTTGTTTATATTATTGTTCACTCGATTGAAAAATTAATTGCCGTTGCTGCTGATTTTTTTTACTTTTTTTTTTTATTTTTTGAATTGACACCGATGTCAGAATATTGATGTCAAACAAGAGTAAGTGTTTTCATTTCAAGGCTTTGCTTTTCGTAATGTAATACGTACATAGTGATAGAATGGAATTTTACGTTGGAATACTGTGCAACTTTATTTCTAGAACGCCTAAATACGTTTTTATTTTTTCTTTAATATGAGAAACGCTATGGATACGAGGTAACCCATTCATCGTAAAAAAAATGGATTTTTTTGGGCACTTTTTGATGACCAAATAGAGTAAACCACGAATCATTAAAATGACAAGTAACAACAGTCTAATAGCCAAAAATTTGTGCACGGGAAGAAAAGTACACTTTTGACGTTCCAGACTGATTACTTTGTTCTATTTCCGAATACACACAACAATTTACGAACAGCGTGTAAAAAATATCAATTTCCGAATGGCTTATTAGCATAAAGGAACCATTTCTCTTCGACTTCGGCTTGTTACAAAACAACGGGGTACGATCTTAATACATTGTGCTTAAAAAAAACAGAAAGTGTCTGACAATTCCTTTTCTTTTTTTAGATAACACCTCAACTTCCGCTCTTCTCCAAAACAAGGCCTATTCCAAGATCGTACCTTCACCACCGGAAACAAACTCCAACGTTCAAGCAGGGACAAACTTCCCGTTCGGTACCAGCTCAGATTCAGAGTCGCCTACAGAGCCTGTCAGCCAGCAAACCATCAAGATACTAAGGGCCAGGGTCGTACCCGGTAATATCTGAATGACATATATGCTGTAAGAAAAAGTGAGAGTATATAATAGGTATAGGGCTAGGGTGCTCCTTGAATCGCATATCGAGATATATGTACCTACTACTTGAGTACTCTTTATCAAGGTCATAAGGCATAGCTCGATGCTAGACGGTTGTTTTATTTCTATTTTTATGACAACTATTATCATTATCATTATCTAACATGTATTACATGTTTAATGATGAGATGATTCACGAATTCCAAAATCACGAAGAACGTGACGTTCTGTTAGGCCTTTTCCAAAGAGTAGGTAATATCAACAGAAGACGGTTTGACAAGGCGAATAAATTAGAGCGAGATGTAACCCAAACAATGGCGTCCACAAAAGAGCTGATCGCATTTAAATACGTGCTGTTCTTAGTCATAGATAAAAATGGTGTTGTCAGACAGGTATACCTTTTTGGATGAATGCACTGACCATTACTCGTACTAAAAGCATTTTTTGTGCCCTAATCTTTAGGCTTCTGCCTGCGCCGCCACAACGGTGTAAAAAAAATAATTTGGCAACAAAAGAGGAAGGCCAGCTTGAATTTAAAATTTTTTGTAACCTCAAATTGCTTATTTCACCAATCATAGAAGAATTTGAGATGGTTACCCGTTATCTAGACAGCCTGGCCTTGAGACGATATACTTACTTATTACGTATAAATTTTGTCGTAACCATCAGAAACCGCGAAAAGAATGAACACTATTCAGCTCAGTATAAATGTAGCGCTTCCTGAACATTTTATGTCTGTTTGGCAACACCGCCTCGGAAGAGCCATCTATCATCGAATCGCCAAACCAAGGGCGGTATTTTCCAAAGCTCGCTGTTCTCATTGCAAACTAGTAATAGTCCAAGTGGCGACCGCAAAGTTTTGTAAAAGTTTTAATTAAAAACTAGTCTTACGTACAGTATATTCACTGAATCAAAACAGTTACATCACAAGGTCAAATAATGACAGTGACGCGGATGGTTGCCACATTACTTAAAACTACTAGATCCTATGACATAAAACACAAATAAACAACAGCCTTTGGTGTAATTACCTGACAATGCGTGTGGCGACAAACTCACAACAGAGAAAACTGTTACCAAAATAAATGTACCAGGAAAATTCAAACTATACGTACCAATTTAGGATCTATTTTGCATTAAGGTTGGCAATCAAACTTACTAAATATGACGTAACTGCTTTGTTTCAGTGAAAGGACTATATCTTGATGCTAAACAGAAAATTCGGCAAGTTTGCACATCATATTTTCAAATATGTTGGAAACGAGTTCATCTAGAAAATGTTGAATGAGCATGTTTTTTTCAGGTACAAAATATCCAGATATGCGATTATATATTGGGGCTTACCATATAAAATTTTGAGTAATTGACATTTTTCCATTTTTACAAAATAAAAGGCCTAATAATACATTTCTGCCTATTTTTTCAGTATGCATATGAATATCTCGCGCATTAAAAATGAAAATACATACCTTTACTAGAGTATAACTTCCAATCGCCAATATCATTGTACGAGGTCTGTGAATTAAGTGTTTCCTTTGCACTCTGTCCAAGTCTGAAGCAAAAACCTTAACTCGAAATTGATGTTTCTCATTTTCCGAATATAATAACAAAACTGCGGACAACCAAATGACTCGAGCGAGATTAAACTTGTACTGAAGGCGGATCACGTCTTCCCCTGTCTCCCCTCGAAGCCCGGTGGCTCCAGTGTTGCCAGATCGAACGCTACGTTGCCAATCTCATCACCTAATTTACAGGCCTCGTATCTGTGCGGTTTTTAAGGAGTATTTTTGCTTGAAAGAGCCAAGCAGTGGTCTTTCGTTATCCAATTTATGTGTGCAAGAGCAGCTTTACCCAGGGTACAATTTTTATACTGAGCACATGGTTCAGTTAGGTGAGTCGCTTACTTATTTTGTTGTTGTATTTATTTAAATGGCATTCATTATTTTCCTATATGTCTTTTGTTCTTATTATTTACCAAGAGAGAAAAAGAGGCATTGCAGTCATTAATGACGACTTCTCGGATTAGCAGTGAAACAAATTATTTAATCATCGTATTATACACTTTGTTCAAGTATGGATAATATGTCAATTGCTCGTGGGAGTTTACTGATATGTAGCATTAATCTCTTGATATATACATGTTATATACAATACATATTTATATATAACTATCAAGTAGTAATAATTTGTAGATCGTGCTCATAATAATATTTACTTCTAACGTAAAACTGTTTTTATAGATGAGATGTAAAGAGTAAAACCCTTTCTAGAAGAAGTGGAGTGACGGTGACTATATATTTTTGTAATTTTTGTATGTAGACACAGAGTGTATAAAACAAATGAAGTATTTGACCAAACTATATTGTACGTAGACTTTTTCTAGGTTTCTTCGTACGCCCATATTCTATATCCACAAATGCATAGTAACATTGACAAAAACTGAACATTCCCCTTATGTTACCTTTCAATTACATGTAGTAAAAAACAGAATTTTGCATGTAAAGCCATTTAAATGGTTGTGTTTATGTTTTGTATCTTTGCAGTTAGATCTCTGTTACATTCAGTGGCGTATATAAAACTTAGGTTGTGGGGGGGGGGGGGGGGATTTGGTGGTGGTGGTGGTGATGGTTAAAAAATCGTAGTGAATATGCCTTCGACTTTTTGTACTTATCTGAGAAAAAATGCACAGTTTTTTTATTTCTAAATTCTAGAATGGATATAGAGCGTTATTTATCCCTTAAAGAGCTTGAAAATAGCAGGAGCAGTGTGCTTTTCCCACCGCCCCCCTTTTAGTTAAGCCACTGGTTACATTACGAAACATTTTTTGAAAAATAATCAAGAGTACGTTCAGAACGAAGTTCTTTTCTCCACACTTTCAAGGATTTCTTTTGTGATATAAAATAAGGGTTTAGCAGTGGTATTTCAGTTTTTAGTATAAATGTTAAAATAACTAGAATGACGTAAGACTGAATGTTTTCTTAGGGCATAGCCAATCTTCGAAAGTAACATATCGTAGAGTCTTTTATTATAATTATAATTTAATTCTCATCATAATAATTTATCCATTACAACAATGTATTGTCAGTTCTGCTTGAGGTTAAATGACACCACCGATTCAAACCATCGAAAGTTCTCATTTTGAACATATTTTATTCGAAAAAATACAATAACGTTGTAAAAATATTTGAGTCGGTGGTCGAATTTTTTGGTATATTTAATTTGAAACCAATGTACGATTAGCTGATCTTACCTGCGTAAGTCAGGTATAATTTTAAGCATTTTTTTTAATTTGCAATGTCTTTGTGACGATTCTACCCTCCTTAAAATACATTTTAACGTATTCATTAATAAAATATAAAGACACATATTGCAAATATATGTTAAAGACAATGTACTTTTAACTTTAAATTTTAAAATACATGTATTCGTCATTAAGATTAGTTTTAAAAAAATATTGGTGTTAAAAAATGATGCTCATTGTAAGTGAACGAAGTTTTAAAATTGGCTTTTTACATTTTTCCGGTTCCGGTCTAGATACGTTTTAGTAATAACACATTTTTTTTGTCAAATTTCACCAAGTCATACATGAACTATCGAGTTTTCTAAAAAATAATTTCGGTCTCCACCCTTATTAAAGGAGTAATATCATGGTTATGTGAATCTTGCTAGATTTTTTAAAAAAGATTGTGTCATTTGTCCGTTCTTGCTACCTAAGGTTAATAAAATTTCGAAATTTCATTTTTTTTAATTCCTTTCAAAATGTCGACATTTCAACTTTTATAGTTTTTAGATTTTATCAGTATTATATATTTACATTCTAACTTGGAAAGCAGAGGCCTTGTACATTAGTTAAAATGTAATAACTATTTAAGTAAATATAAGAGCATATCATCATGAATTGTTTCTTCATCCAACCCAATCCAGTATGGCGATAGTAAATACAATCGTTCATCAGTACACGGGGAGGACCAAATTTGACCTTAGGACGCGAGTTTAATGTGTACGAGAGAGGAGCGCGAGAAGTGTGTAAAGCACATATGTTAGAAAGAGATACCAGCTGGATAGGGAAGCTCATCACACGTTGCCTAGCGATGGTGACGCAGAAGATCGTGCAATCTGCAGCGTTGCCAATATTTTACACCAGTTCCTTGAACTAAAGAGATTTTTTCGCGAGATCCCTTAGTGAACCGGAGCGGGAACAGATGGAATTTTCCCTTCCTCTCGAAGTTTTGACAGTTTCAAGTTAAACCGGGAGTGGTTAGATCGCGCATGTTGCGCAAAATGTTTGCTTTACGCTCCTTGATAAACATAGCTGCCTTGTTTGAATCTGAAAAAAAAAGACCGATCGTTTTGTGTGCAATGTACATAATGGGTGATTTTTTTGCTAGTATCTTTTTGGCAACACTGTTTTTGACAGATGACGCGTGAATCGTGTCTTGTGTCATTGTCAAACTGGTTCAGTTTGGTCTATAATTTAACCATGAATCGACTTACGAACGAAGAACGCTTGCAAATTATTGAATTTTACTATCAAAATTCATGCTCGGTTAAGAGAGTGCATCGATCACTGCTTCCAATTTATGGGCAATTTGGTCGGCCTACTGAGGGAGCTATTCGGAAGCTTGTGACTAAATTTCGAACCCAGTTTACATTATTGGACATTAAACCACCAACACGCAGACGTAGAGTGAGGACTGAAGAAAATATTGCGGCTGTATCCGCCAGTGCTGGTGATGACCGTGAAATGTCGATTCGCCGCCGTTCGCAGCAATTGGACCACTGATACTCCACTACGTGGAAAATTTTGCGACAGGATTTGGGTGTAAAACCTTATAAGATACAGCTGGTGCAAGAATTGAAGCCACACAACCTCCCTCAACGTTTCCCATTTGGTGAATGGGCGCTGGCAAAGTTGGAGGAAGATCCACATTTTTAACGAACAATTGTGTTCAGCGACGAAGCTCATTTCTGGTTGAATGGGTACGTTAACAAGCAAAATTGCCGCATCTGGAGTGAACACCAGCCAGAAGCATTGCAAGAGCTACCAATGCATCCCGAAAAAATCACTGTTTGGTGTGGATTATGGGTCGGTGGCATTATCGGGCTTCTTCAAAGACGACAATGGCCGGAACGTAACTGTGAATGGCGAGCGCTACCGTGCGATGATAACAAACTTTTTTTTGCCCAAAATGGAAGAGCTGGACTTGGCCGACATGTGGTTTCAACAAGACGGTGCCACATGCCACACCGCACACGAAACAATGGCCCTATTGAGAGGCGAGTTCGGTGAACAGTTTATCTCACGTTTGGGGCCCGTCAATTGGCCGCCTAGATCGTGTGATTTAACGCCGTTGGACTATTTCTTGTGGGGCCATGTTAAGGCTAATGTCTACAGGGATAAATCAGCAACGATTGACGCACTAGAAGCCAATATTGAAGCATTTATTCGTGAGATATCGGCCGATATGTTGGAGAGAGTGCCAAAATTGGACCTTGCGCATGGGCCATCTAAAGCGGAGCCGCGGCCAACATTTACATGAAATAATCTTTAAACATTAAGTTATATCGACCGTTCTATCGACTCAAAGATTTAATCGTTTTTTCAAATTTTTGTGTTTTTTTTTGAAAATCAAATCATATACCTCTTAAAAAATTTTCTCGTTATATATCAATAAAATCAATCATTTGATATGACAAGTGCGGTTCATATATCTTCGATGACCTTCTCCCTCGTCGTTTAAAATCAGGTGGACGTATTCCTCCATTTATGATTTAATAATTTAACTCGATTTTCAGCACTGCGAAGACAAATTTTCAATTGAGTTGCCTTTTTTAAATGACATTGACATAAGACCTGTCACCCGCTAGTACCTCACAGACGTTAGGCGGGTACCCGTACCACGTGATTCCTTGACATTCGGAGACGTCACATCCGTCTTCCCCTATTCCCGGCAGCGCAACCGGTCCGAGTAAAGATAACATGGCCACGCAAGATAACTGTTGAAATGTATTTTACTAGACTCTAGAAGACTATCAGTAGCGAAATTTTTGCCGAAATCGTTGCACAACACAAAGAAATGCAAATGAAATCTGCTGCTTTGACGTTTTAAACGACTCTGTCGGTACCCCCGGATAGACATCCGTCTTGTCAGATAACCTTGTCATTCTTGCCACCTGGATTACGGCGTTGCCGGCTATTTGGACAATTTAGCTACCTCTGCTATTTTGATAGAATGTTATAAAAAAAGAAGCTTTGAATAAAATATTGAGGAATAGCAATGGAGATATATAAAAATTGAGGCGTAGCATTGTTTACCAAAAAACTAAACAAAAGCTGTTATTTACATTTTGCATTGCCTGGCGTCCATGCGGCGTAACGTTAATGTCTTTGAACATTTTTAAATGACCAGTTTTATAGGATAAAATACTTTTTGAATACGGGACACTTCTTCCAAGAATTGAAAAAAAACAATGTTTTATTATATTGATATATTTATTTTTTTTATATTCCAACTACCATGAAGGCCTAAGGCCTAAGCACATGGGAAAGGGGGGACGCCACACGGACTCTGGCGAGGGAACACGTGTGTATGCAACATGCACACATTCTGGCTCCGCCTACGAGAACCGCCGGGTGGTACCTCCGCGTTCGACAGTCAGAGACCATCTACCACCTACGGACAATCACAACATCCATAGCCAAGAGAAAAATTTCTCCTGGGACGGGACTCGAACCCGCACAGCGCGCGGCGACTGATCAGGTGACCGAAGAGTCTACTACTGCGGCCGCTGCTGCTGCCTTAACTATTTAAAAAGTATTTTATCCAAAAAAAAAAAATTGGGCATTCATAAACATGTTCAGAGACATTAACGATCCGCCGCATAGACACCAGGCGACGCAAAATGTAAATAACAGCTTATGTTTAGTTTTTTGGTAAACATTGCTATGCCTCAAACTTTATAGATATCCATTGGCATCCCTCAATATTTTATTCAAAGCTTCTTTTCTTATAACATTCAAGCAAAAGAGCAGAGGTAGCAAAATTGTCCGATGAGCTGGTAACACTGTAATCTAGGTGACAAGATCAACTGCCAAAATGTATGTCTATCCCGGGGTAACGACGGAGTCCTTTAATACGTCAAAGCGCTTGTTTTCCAGTCTTGATTTGCGGTGTTCAACGATATTAAGAAACATTTGGCTACAGATAGTCTTCTAGTGTCTAGTAGAGTATATTTAATATAATAATAGTTGTCTTGCGTGGCCATGTTATCTTTACTCAGGCCAGCGCAACTATCTGACAAACATTAACGTGTAAGCACTTAAGGCAACAAGACTTCATTAGCTCCAATTTTAGTAACATCACAGTTATACAAAAAAAAATGATGATGATTGTTTATTCAAAGAATTACACATTTAAAGAGATCTAAAGACATACTTTGTAGAATTATCAAGCTACCGAGACTACTGATGTTCCCCAAGTTTAACTAGCATTATGTCACCCCATTTTTGTTCTTGTTCCCTCAATGTTAAATGTATATCTCCTGTATCAGCTTCAGGATCTGGC